ACTATTTTCTTTTTTATATATACATATAACTTATTTTTATTAATTTTCTTACATTTAAAAAAACACCAAAAAAAGAATTAACTTAGCTTATTTTCTTTCTTTAAGTTAGTTCACACAATTAATAAAATACAAAAAGAATAATAATAATAAAAATTTTAATCTTTTTTTAGAATAAATTTTATTTCTCTCTTTTCAAGTAAATACATACATTTCATACCTTGTTGATTTTATTTCATAAATTGACATAGTTTTGTATTAAATCGCACAACAATTTGATTTGGTTGTATTATTTGATATTTGGGCATTGCTATTTTTATTTGATTCATCCCCATTTGTAACAATTGTACCCCCATTCCTGAACATTCTGTAATAGTTTAGAATTTCAATTCCCGCAATTTATTGCTTTCTATATATTGTATAGTAACTAGGCGTGTATGGCAAGATTCAAAAATCAATCGCTAGATGACCTAATCTAAGAATAAATAACTTGAAACCAACACACTTCTCACACGCGCACCTCTAGGGTAACCTCGCTTGTTGCCTCGGAAATACAATCATGTCCCTCGAATATGAGACACTCTAGCAAATGACCCTTCGATAAACAAAGATCGTAGTCCCTCGATGTTGCCTTCGATAAAACGATCTCGTCCCTTACAAAATTGCTAAAGCGTCTCACAAGTTGCCTTCAATGATTGTAAAATTGACCTGCGCCTGTCCCTTAACATCCAATGATGGGGCTTCTTACCAAATCAATGGTAAGATAGCACCATTAAAAGGAAGAAGAAAAGAACAACTTAAGACCTTTCGAGTAGATAGATTCGCTCTTAGTTACTCGCTTTCTCACGACAAAACCTTTACACCTACACCACCATTTCAAAACAATTTCAAAAAAGACAAAACATTTTGTATTCATTCTTATAGAGACGAGAACCATTGCAAAACCTCTTTTCAAAACACTTTTTAAAACACGATTCACAAACACATCTTTGAAACATTTTTCGAAACAAAATTTTGTATACGTTCTTATAGAGACGAGAACCATTACAAAGAAATTTTCCAAAATACTTTCAAAACCCACACCACAAGCACACAATCAAACAAAAGCAAGTGATCTAAACTAGTAACTAAGAGCCCATGGAAAACCATGGATGAAAAGGGTGCTAATACCTTCCCTTTTCATAATCTATCCCCCGAACCCAAGAAAATTCTCGAAAGGTCTTTCCTGTGCTTTTTTACCTTTCCTTTTGGATAAAAGAAAAGTCGGTGGCGACTCTTGCTAACCGCACAAGTGCAAACGAAACGCAAAACTTCTAGTCAGTTCTCCCACCATATCACAATATGGAAATTCAGAAAACTCACCTTGCAAATGGAGATCATGTTTGGAGTTTAAGCACTCTTCAAGGTGTTGTAATGATCTGGTTAGCTTCACTAAACCTCCAGGAAGCTATTGCAATGCTTACTTTGAATTGAAAGTGGTTGTATTGTTCTAGAGAAGTCAAGATGCAAGTTATTGTTTTTGAAAATGGAGGATGGTGGTGGAGGTATTACAGTTGTGTAACAGGTGTTTAGTTAGGTTCTAAATGATATATGAATGATTTGTGATTGATTTTGAGGAAGAACGCACGAGTGGAATGTGAGTTTGAGGTGCAAGGTCAGAAATGGCACAAAAATGGTGTTTTTAGGAAATTTCTGGCTTGAGGGAGTTTGGGAGAGTTTTAGACCTTTCGAATTCGTGTCCTTGACTTGTAAACAATATCTTAATTTATAGGAAAAGGTTTGAGGAGTTGAGATGATCAGAATCACAAGATCACATGTTATGGATTTTGACTTGTTTTTGAAGCAACCTTTACAAATATGGTTTCAAGGCAAGGTACAAAGCTTGTAAGGTGGCTAGAAGCTTTAAACATGTTTTCTATGATCTTGTAGATGAAGTTTATGCATAAGTAACAAGTGCAAAGCTCAAGACAAGTTGACTTTGTGATTAAAGCAACTTTTCAAGAATGACAATGGTGCCTTTGTGCCATAAATGGAAATGTAGCTTGGATAAAGGTTAAAACACTTGGACAAGGGCTCAATAAGTTGTGTAAACATATGATCATGGATAGATTTGAAATTTAGAAGGCCTGCAAAGTAATATTATGCAGCATAGGTTTGGATTTTGGTTATATGTTCATCATCAAAATGACTTGTAATTCAAGAATAAATGCCCAACTTTTTGCCTTTGATTCTCTTAGCTCAAGCATGATCTCTTAAAGTTCTTGGACATTTTGGAAATCTTGAAACATTATCTACAACCTTAATGTTGACCATTTTGGCTAAATTATCTTGTATCTATGTGAAAATCAGCCAAGAAGATAGGTCAAAAATCTGCCTAAACTTGTCAAAATTTTCACTAAGTGTTTTATGAAAAATGTCATGACTTCATGGGCTTATATCTTAAAATCTAATTATTTTTTGGACATCAATCCTCTATTACAAAGTTTTAGAATTCATCAATATCTATAACTTTCATGTTGAAAGTTTTCTTTGAATCATCTTGCATCTTGGTGAAAAAAGGTCATGAAGTAGTGAATTTATCAAGTATAAAATGTACTTAGAAAATTTTCTAAGTCTTGAAAACTTTGACTTTTTGTGGACTTTCTTGATTCTTGTTGACCAAGTTTGATATTTTTTTAGTATCTTGATGAATCTTGATCTTTAAAAATCAATGTTGATCAAAAAGTTAAAGTTTGACTTTTTGTGTATCAATTGACTTTTCATCAGTTGATCCAAAACTCAACTATCAATCCATTGATCTTGGAAAATGACTTGAGTCATGCAATTAGGTCAAAATAATGTACTTGAATCCTTGATATCATACCTCAAAATATTAAGTCATGTGTTAGGTCAAAAGTCAATGACTGGTCATTCCCAGTCAAAACTCTAATTTTGACCATTTTGCTCTTTTGATGATTTAAACACTTTTCTTGAGGAATTGTGATCAAACCTTGATCAATTGGTAAATATGACTTTAAAATATTTATATGGGCCAAAAATATTGAAGTTTGACTGTAGGTTGACCACAATTGACTTTTTATCCAATACAACTAATTTCTAATTATCTGATCAATTGACTAAGCAAAATTATGATCCAAGGCTTGAAATTTGGCATGAGTATTCTTGGAGGTATATAATAAACCATGAAAGTCATTTTAGACATTAGAAGTCCAACTATCCTTGTGAAAATCAAAACCCTAATTTGGGGTCTTAGTGCTTAGGAGATGATTTGACATAGTCAACACTTGTGCAAAGTCATTAAAGATTTTCTTTGTGAGAAATGTCTTGAGAAAAGAGAGGACAAATTTTGGAGTACAACATATGCAAAAAGTTACTATGGTTGAAGAAATTTTTGCAGGAGGATGATTTTGTTCAAGACAAATATGTGTTATTTGTTGATAGTCAAAGTGTTATTCATCTTGGTAAGAATCTGACTTTTTATAATAAATCTAAACACATTGATGTGAGATATCATTGAATACATGATGTTTTGGATGCTAAGTTGTTGGAGTTAGCTAAAGTTCATACAGATGATAATGGTTATGATATGATGAGTAAAGTGTTACCTAAGGGGAAAATTTGAAGTTTGTTGTGATATCGTCAGTTTGGCGATTTCCTCCACATATTTGTGAGGAGGAGATTTGTTGAGCTTGGACTCCCTTCCTATGTGGAGAAAGACCCAAATATGAATAGTCCATGTGTCTCACTTATTTAAGTGGAGAATGTCAATTTAGGGTTAAGAGAAATAGAGATAAAATAAAGATTCAAAAGATAGAAAATATGAGAGAAACGCATTCCCATTTTTCTGCACTAGTCTCACTAAATCAACGATCACCAATTTGTTAGCCGTTGGATCGAACTCAAATTGTGAGGGCAGGTTCACAACACCTATGTCTAACTTTTGACCGTTGGGATCTTCAAAGCAAAGTCTAAGCTGAGAGATAATTACTTCACAATGAAGCTGCAGATTTGGGTAATTTTTCAATTTTTTGGATTCTTATTTGTAAGCTGGTATGTTTTATGATTTGCGGTTGTTATCATTATTTTGTAAATCATTTTAAGACTCTCTTGATTATAATGAAACTATTTATTTGACTGAACGACTCGTGGTTTTTACTCTCAATAGATTTTCTACGTTAAAAATATCGATGTTTTTTGTATCTTTATTTGTTCGATTTGTCGTCTTATATTTATTGTTGATCATCAAAATTCCTACAAGTGCAGAGAATTTTATATCTGCTACATATTATTTTGTTATTTTGTCTTTATTTTCATCATGCACCTTTTGTAATATGCAGGATGATAGCAAGATAAAGGATCTGTTTGTATTTTTTGCTTCCTCAAAGTTCAAACACTCATTCTGTGAACAACTCCATTTCTTAGCAGCACGGTGCAGTGTATAACCTGCCTTCCTATTATCTAAGTTTTTCAGAGACAAAGGTCTCCACAGTTTCCCTATTGCTTCTTGTACTCTATATCTTAAATGGACAATCACAAAAGTAGATAATCGTAATGTAATATTCTCTCCACCTGCGTGTTTAAATTTTATTTTATTTTTTGGTTATTGCGTGTTTAAATTTTATTTTATTTTTTGGTTATTGCGTGTTTAAATTTTTTTTTCATTTTATTCTTTCTTATCTTTTGAAACCAAAAAGGAATATCAGTATGTAAGACTCACAAGGTCATTAAAAACAAGACAAATTGAGAAGAATTTTCTCTTTTAGCGAGATCTTAAAAATGGTCATTTTAATAAATAATAAATGAAAAAATATTTTGTCAAATGTCATTCATTTATATTTATTAATTATTATGTATAGTCAAAGATATATTACCATTTAAGCATGTTTATTACTACATTAAAATAAAACTTAAATAATTTCCTTCCCATGATATGTAACTCTTTTTTTTATACATAAGCTTTTATAACTGAAAATGAGGAACATAAATTTTATTTATTCTGAGTGATGGAATTTCAAACTTTAGTATTAACGTATTTCATAGTTGCTTTGGTTGTTGTTATTCAACCTGGGAAAAGCCAGAATGGTGGAGGATTCGTTGAAAGAAAAGGCACTCATTTTATTCTAAATGGGAAACCACATTATATTAATGGATTCAATTCTTATTGGTTAATGAACCTTGCATCTGACCCATCTACAAGATCTAAGGTTACTTCAACTTTTCAAGAAGCTTCTCAAAATGGTTTAAATCTAGGAAGAACATGGGCTTTTAATGAAGGATTCCTTCAAATCTCTCCTGGTTCTTACGACGAAAATGCCTTCAAGGTAATCTTGCTCTTTATTGGTATACTATATTCTTTATATCATTCTATATTTTACTCATTTAATATTTGTGTATGTAGGGCTTGGATTTTGTAATTTCAGAGGCAAAAAAATATGGGGTGCAGCTTATACTAAGTTTGGTAAACAATTGGAATGAGTTTGGAGGAAAAATTAAATATGTTCAATGGGCAAAAGAACGTGGCCAAAATGTAATAAATGATGATGACTTTTTTATCCATCATGTTGTTAAAGAATACTACAAAAATCATGTTAAAGTACGTACCATAATTTAGTATGAATTTGCTACTTTACTTTGCACGAAAATACAACACAATAAAACCAATGTTAATTTTAACATTTTTGGAGTGATTGATTGCAGACTGTGCTGACAAGAAAGAACACAATAAATGGTATTTTATACAAAGATGATCAAACTATATTTGCATGGGAGCTTATGAATGAACCTCGTTTAAATAACTCTGGAAGATCAATTCAGGTTCTTTTCATTTTTTTTTGTTTTAATGAATGAATTTTCACCCATTAAAGATGAATAAATGAGATGTCGTAGGTTCGAACCTGCACCCTGTGTAGTATGACCTGCATGCATAGCTAGCTACCAACTGAATTTGCTGTTACTAGTATTTCGATTACGCATTCATTGTGACACGTAATTTGGCATTAATTACCGTAGAATTGGATAAGAGAGATGGCGAGTTATGTGAAATCCATTGACAACAATCATTTACTGGAAATAGGACTTGAAGGGTTCTATGGTGAAACAAAGAAGCAACTCAATCCCGATTCACTTCTAGTCGGGACCGATTTTATATCCAACAATCAGATTCCTCAAATTGATTTTGCAACCATTCACTTGTATCCTGAGCAATGGTATCACTCGTCAAACATGATTTAGAATGAACTTGATGCATGTTTTTTATCACACATTCACCACAAAACCCTAATGTATTTATTTATTCATGCAGGTTACTAGGTTCAAATGAGACAACCCAGCGTGCATTTGTTGACAAATGGATAGAAGATCATATTCAAGACGCAAATACAGTTTTAGGAAAGCCAATAATTGTTTCAGAGTTTGGAAAGTCTTCAAAGTCATCTGGATATAGCATAGATAAAAGGGATGATTACTATAAGAAAATATATAGTATTATATCTGCAAGTGCTACTAGTGGAGGCTCTTGTGCAGGTGGGATTTTCTGGCAACTTCTATCTCAAGGAATGGATAGCTATGGAGATGGTTACGAAGTTATTTTGGAGAATAGTCCTTCAACTGCACAGATCATCAAAGAGCAGTCTACTAAGATATCAAATATCAAACAATAGAATTAATGGAAGCAAAAATTCTCAACTTGACCATTCTCTTTTTTCTTCATTTATAAGCCTCTGCACCTAATGTTCCTACATAGTTATTAATTGAGTTGGTTTAACACAACAATGTAACATGTCATTATATCATAGAAAACAATACTCCAAGACCAGTTACCATCCATCCAACATCCTAAATCTGCTACCTTTAATCTGTCGATAATCCTGCAGTGAAATAACATAGGGAACAAGGAACATAATCTCAACCATGATTCATTTTTATGATTGGAAGCTCAAGTCGCCTTTAAATAACCATGTCTAAACTCCATGAATTTGAACCACAAATTTAAAGGGTTAGGAAATAATCTGCCACATACATTTCCTCGATAATCATGTACTATTTGTTGAGTAAACTTTAATGTCATTAATAATAAGTTTTTATAATTAAATAAGGTAGCAGGAAGATTAAGAACCAATGTAATTTGGAAGGACAAAAGTTAGTAAGTTATAATAGTTTTTATTAGTGGCAGTTATCTTTTCTAAATTGTAAAAGTCATTGGGTCTATATAAGGACCAAGAGTGTATTTTATTTAACAAGCAATATAGAAAGGTTTGCCTCTTTCTCAAAATAGAACAATCGAAGTCTGCTTCTTTATATCAATTTGGCATCAAAGCTCATGGCAAACATGATGAATCAAATGCCGTTGTCACGGCTAACAAAGTCAAATTATGAAAACTGGAATATCCAAATGAAAGCTCTTCTTGGATCTTTAGACGCGTGGGATGTGACCCATGAAGGGTTTGAAGAACCAACAGAAGTTGAGGGATATACGGTAGCTCAAACGATGGCGTTGAAAGAGACGTGATCGAAGGACAAAACGACATTATATATGTTGTTCAGGGCTGTAGATGAATCAGGCTTCGAAAAAATTGTTGGTTCGACTACGTCGAAACAAGCGTGGGACACGTTAGAAAGAGTGTTCAAAGGAGTAGATCGAGTGAAGCAAGTTCGACTCCAAACTCTTCGTGGCGAATTGGAGAGGATACAGATGAAAGATACATAAACTGTATCTGGCTACATCACTCATGTGCAAAAGATGGTGAATCAACTCATCAGAAATGGAGAGACAGTAACTGATGCACGAGTTGTTGAAAAGATCTTGAGATCTTTAACAGACAAGTTTGAGAATATTGTGTGTGCAATAGAAGAGTCGATGGATCTTTTGACGCTCTCAGTCGAAGAGCTCGCTGGTTCTCTCGAAGCACATGAACAACGAAAGATAAAAAAGAAAGAAGAAGCAGTCGAAGAAGCAAATCAAACCAAGGAATCGAACAAATATGAAAAGGTACTCTTTTCTCAAAACTTTCGAGGAAGAGGGCGTGGGCGTGGACGTGGAGTTCGTGACAGTGGTCGAAGTGGTAGAGGTAGAAACTTCGAAAGAGGACAATCGAGCCAACAAAATTGGTGTGGCAGAGGACGTGGTCAAAGAGGTGGTCGTTCGAATCATTCCAACTTCGAATGCTACAAGTGTGGGAAGTATGGTCATTACGCGAAGGATTGCAACTCCTACAAATGTTACAACTGTGACAAAGTGGGACATCTTGCTAAAGACTGTCAAATCAAAAAGAAGATTGAAGAAACAACCAACCTAGCCTTGGAAGTTGAATCAAATGAAAGCTTTCTCCTTATGGCTCAAAATGAAATCAACACCAATAATGACAATGTTTGGTATCTTGACTCAAGAGAAAGTAATCACATGTGTGGTTACAAACACTTGTTTAAATATATGAAGAGAATTGAAGATGGCAATGTGTCTTTTGGAGATGCATCGAAAGTGAAGGTCGAAGGAAAGGGCACAATCAGTTACTTGCAGAAGAATGGCTTGATTGGATCAATCGAAGACGTTTACTATGTACCAGATCTCAAGACTAACTTATTGAGTCTGGGATAACTTACAGAAAAAGGTGTTTCGATACTTATGAAAGATCGAACACTGCATTTGAAGGACAAAGTAGGACATCTGATTGCCCGTGTCGAAATGGAAAGAAATCGAATGTACAAACTGAACCTGAGGAACGTTCGAGAGAAATGTCTGCAAATCAAAGTACAAGACAAAGCGTCACTATGGAATATGCGCTTTGGTCATCTACATCATGTTGGTTTGAGAAGGTTGGAAAAAAGGAACATGGTGCATGGACTACCAGACATGGATTTCAAAGGAAAGTTCGGTGAAGAATGTGTGCTCAGCAAACAAACAAGAACCTCATTTCAAAAGAAGGTCGAGTATCAAGTTAAACATATTCTTGAATTGATACATACTGACATATGTGGTCCAATCACTCCAGAATCCTTCAGTGGAAAAAGATACTTCATTTCTTTTATTGATGACTTCTCAAGAAAAACCTGGGTTTACTTCCTGAAAGAAAAATCTGAAGCATTAGAGGTGTTCAAAAAATTCAAAGTAATGGTGGAAAAGGCAATAGACAGACACATCAAAGCAATTCGATCTGATAGAGGAGGTGAGTATACTTCGATGGCCTTTGTGAAGTACTGTGAAGAACAGGGCATAAGGAGATTCCTAACTGCACCATATTCACCTCAGCAAAATGGTGTGGCTGAAAGGAAGAATCGAACTATTATTGACATGACTCGATCAATGCTCAAAAGCGAGAACATGTCGAAAGAGTTCTGGGCAGAAGCAGTACAATAAGTTGTTTATGTTCATAATATATGTCCACATTCGAAGTTAGAAGACAAAACACCACAATAAGCATGGAGTGGACAGAAGCCAACAGTTTTTCATCTCAAGGTATTTGGTAGTATATCTTATGCATATGTACCAGATCAACGAAGAACAAAGCTTGAAGACAAAAGTCAGAAGTACATATTCATTGGATATGATGAGAAGACAAAAGGGTACAAGCTCTTCGATCTCATAAGCAAGAAAGTGATCGTGAGTAGAGATGTTCGAATGAACGAAGCAAGCAAGTGGGACTGGAATAATTCGACAGAGGTTATTGACACAGTCGAAGATACAATTGTAGCTATACCAACAAGTATTCCAACAGAACATGAAGAAACTGAAGATGAAGATGAACCTCTACAACCCAGAATAGAAGTTTGCAAGACTTATATGATTCAAGAAGTGAGATGCATCTTGTGTGCCTTCTGGAAGATGCTGAAAACATCAGTGTCAAAGAAGCGTTATGAGACAAGAAGTGGAAAAGTGTCATGGACGAAGAGATTAGAGCAATCGAACGCAACAACACTTGAGAGATAGTCGAATTGCCAAAAGGTAGTCAACCCATTGGTGTAAAGTGGGTATTCAAGAAAAAGATGAATGCTCAAGGAGAAATCGAAAGATTCAAAACACAACTGGTTGCGAAGGGATACAAACAGAAAGCAGGAATTGACTATGACAAAGTGTTTGCGCCTGTTGCAAGAATGGAGACAGTTCGATTACTCATTTCTCAAGCTGCTCAATTCAAATGGCCAATATTTCAAATGGATGTCAAGACAGCATTTTTGAATGGTGTGCTCGAAGAAGAAATCTATGTCGAACAACCACTTGGATATATGAGAATTGGAGAAGAGAAGAAGGTGTTGAAACTGAATAAAGCGTTGTATAGGCTGAAGCAAGCACCTAGGGCATGGAACACACGCATTGACACATATTTCAAAGAGAATGGGTTCGAGCAATGTCCTTATGAACCTGCCCTCTATGTGAAGAAAAATGGAAGTAATGTATTACTTGTTGCTCTCTATGTTGATGACCTTATCTTTCTAGGCAGTGATGTTTAGATGATCGAAGATTTCAAGAGCACCATGACAAGCGAATTCGAAATGACAGACTTAGGTCTGATGAGATTCTTTCTTGGTCTGGAGGTTCGACAAGAAGAAGCTGGAATCTTTATCTCACAATAAAAATATGCAAAGGAAATCCTATAAAAATATAAAATGAAGAATTGCAATCCAACCTCGACGCCAATGGAACCAGGTGCAAAACTGTCAAAGTTTGATGGAGGAGAACGGGTTGAAGGAAGCAAATATCGAAGCTTGGTAGGTGGACTTCAATATCTCACATGCACAAGGCCAGACATTTCACTAAGTGTTGGCATTGTAAGTTGATTCATGGAGGAGCCAGTACACACACATTGAAAGGCACTGAAACGAATTCTAAGATACATCCAAGGAACAGTATCACTTGGAATATTTTATTCAAAAACAAAAGACTACAAGTTAGTTGGTTATTCTGACAGTGACTGATGCAGAGACATAGACGATCGAAAGAGCACTTCTGGATATGTGTTTTTCATGGGAAACACAACATTTACTTGGCTATCGAAGAAACAACCTATAGTAACACTTTCGACGTGTGAAACTGAATATGTGGCAGCATCTTGGTGCGTCTGTCATGTAGTATGGCTCAGAAGGTTGATAAGCAAGATGGAGCTAAAGCAGGAAGGTCCAACAATAATACAAGTGGACAATAAATCAGCTATCAAATTGGCAAAGAATCCAGTGAATCATGAACGAAGCAAACACATTGATGTTCGATTTCACTTCATTCGTGAACTTGTGAAGGAGGTAAGTGTCGAATTGAGGCATGTAACAAGCAAAAACCAAGCAGCGGATATTTTCACAAAACCACTATCGAAAGAGATCTACGACAGAGGCAAGAAGATGATAGGAATGCTGGATGGAAGAAACGTTTAAGTTTACAGAGGAGTTTTGTTGAGTAAACTTTAATGTCATTAATAATCAGTTTTCATAATTAAATAAGGTAGTAGGAAGATTAAGAACCAATGTAATTTGGAAGGACAAAAGTTAGTAAGTTATGATAGTTTTTATTAGTAGCAGTTATCTTTTATGAATTGTAAAAGTCGTTGGGTTTATATAAGGATCAAGAGTGTATTTTATTTAACAAGCAATATAGAAAGGTTTTCCTCTTTCTCAAAATAAAACAATCGAAGTCTGCTTCTTTATATCACTATTTACTCATTAGCACCATAGAGTA